CTCTAGGCGTCGGACACCCTCCCGGAAGGAAGCCCGCGTGTGCCGGCATCACATGACATTCGTCTCAATATGGTATATTTGTACGTGTTTGCACGGGGGCGCGGTAAAGCCACCTGGTGCTACCTATCAACAGGGGCTATTTCTCCAAAGGGAGACTCCCCCAGCCACAATTTCTGTTCCTGTCTATGTGGCAATTGGTATGTCTGACATGTACGGCGGCTTGCTCCTAATGTAAAATGTGTATAGCCATATAAGTATTGTATTTTCTGCCCATCGAACATTCAGATCTGGGTGAAAGTAAGACATTTTGACATATCTATAAGCAATTGAGTAGCACTACTTTTGTCACCCGTTGGTTACAGCTAACGACAAAACAATAGACTCGCAGAAATTCTGGGATGGAGTGCAGATGATAGAGAAGACACCAAATACGGTAGGATGCCATGCTTGGAAGTTGGAGCACGGACATGGCCGGGGATGTGGACTGGAAGACCGGTCTGCGCTATCATATTCGTGTTGACGGGGACCTTCTATGTCACCGAGACTCCATCCTGTAAATTCAGAGGAATATCTATTGTTTTGTGGTTAGCTGTAATGTTCATTTTGTGGTCCACACAAGGGGTGCGAGAGAGCTGCCAGTCGGAGACTGGCAGCGAATGAGCACCAAGTGGCAATCGCAGTCGATGTATGCCCCTCCTTTGAGAGGGGTTATACCAAACCCGCAATACGTCGCACTTTTCGACCGACCGGCAAGTTCCGGCGTGTCATGTTTGGCTCCAGTGGCACACGGCTACACAGCGCGGACTTAGAATTATCTCGCGCAGCTAGACTTTGCATTTCACTTACATATCGAAGTAAACAATCAGTACTAAATTCCATCTCAATTCACCGTAGCAGCTACATGCTGTGAACTGCACTCCACAGCAGCTACAGGCTGTGAATTTTGCACACCAAATCAAGGAGGAGCTAAATATCTCTTGTATACGTCAAAGATTCGAAATAATTACCTTGCGACTAGCAAGGTCTCTGCTTGTCGGGAATTGAGCCATCAAAAATGTATTTGTTTATATTTGTTTGTGGCATGTGCATGTTGTTTCGCACCAGGTGAGAGTCAGCAAATGCCTGCCAGCCAAATGTCCCCGTGATTGTCACACGTGCATCGTTTCGCACCACAGGCCGTTCTGCTCTGCCAACCTCGGACTAAATGATCTATTCCTGCATAATAAAGAGAAACTTTGATACCTTATGCAGCTGGTATAATATCTACAGTAGTATTGTTGTAATATATGCAACAAAGAGAATTATTAAGTCGCTAAAAAGCGCAATATGGTAGTCATGAATTAATATTCCTCTTACCCTGAGTCCTCATACCCTGGGTCTGTATTATCTGTAGAAGCTGCCATAAAATTAAAAAGATAGCCTTCAGAATACCTCTTAACTGCTTTGATTAGAGCATCAATCTTGTCTGCCTTCTTGGTTACTTTTGACTTGATGGGCACCAGCCTCTTGTCCTTAGCTATCCCTGCCTTGATCTCCATTTGCCGGTGCTTCCAGAAGGGATGTGTTCTATCAAAACACGTCGAAAACACGTTACCTTGCAACTAGCAAGGTCTCTGCTTGTCAGTATTTGAGCCATCAAAAATGTATTTGTTTATATCTGTTTGTGGCATGTGCATTGTTTCACACTTCTATCACTGCCATCAGATTCAGTATCTTTGCTCTTGTCTCTGGAAGTCCACTGCCTTAGTGTTGCCAGGCACTGGCAAGGATGCCAGACATTGAGAATTCGATTATTGAAACTTAATTGATTTGTGATTGTTTGTGGCAACACACTGGCATCCAGTGGAATGCTCATGCTCCTTGCTACCATTTTATGCTTCAAACAGCTTGAAATTTTTGACCTTAGGATGCTATGATGTTACAGTGCCTTGCATAAGAAACTGAACATCGCATTTCTGCACCCGTTGTTTGCCCACACCAAATATACCCTTTTCAGCTATTGGCGCATGTGCGGCAAAGACTTGTCGAGAGGGAGGTAGCTAGGCACCCAGCTGGGGGCAGAGTATAATAATTTACAGCCCTTAGTATAGTTTTAGAATATACATTTCATGCATTCTCTGAAGCCTTTCGAGCCCTCTTGGGGCATCTGCGAGTCCTTGCCCAGCAAATGGTCTTGCGAGAGGCCTTCCAGACCTACCCGAAAAGGGCATATTTGGCGGGAACAAACAACATGGGGGGAAATGCGAGTTTCTTATGCAAGGCACTGTACTATAGACGCGCAGAGAAAGAGGACCGAAGCAAGAGTCAAGTCGCAAGGTATTCGGCCGGCGATAGCCGGCGCTTCTCGAGTTACTTTAAATTATATCCATTGGCACAGGATGGCAATAAGTGTTCAGCTGGCCAGCCAAACTCTGGCTGCATTTGTGCAAAGCACCTATGTGATAATTAATTCATCCCATCCCCCAAAGGAGGGGTAAGCCGGCGCCAGACAGAGCTTCCCGAGTGATACAAATGGTGAATTTAGTCGTGCATGCCTCGCAGCGCCTAGTACAATACAGCCTGGAGGGTGATAGACATATTTACTTTCTACCTCAGCACCGATAATCCCCAAGTTGAATCTGAACACAGGACACGTGTCACGGGATCTCGAAGCGCTGAACTCTGCGGCGTTCCTGCAACAAGTACTTTGAACCAAGGGGTGGACACCGGGAGACGCCGAGACCGCATGAAGGGGGGAGGGGGGGGTCTCGAGGGCCTTAACAGGAATTTATTAAAACTAGATTTGGCTCTGTGACAGCCCTGATGGCAGAGATACGGTACAGGTGGTACTAAAATTGCTTGCTAGTGAGGGTTACAGGGCTTTATTAGCCAGGACAACCTCGCCTTGGCCATTGCACGGAAGAAAACATAAAGCGTGACAACATATAGTGTGACAATAGGGTGACGTGTGGGAGCACTGAAAGATGACTAAGCAAACCCTAACCTGGCTTTGCCTGGGACCTACCTTCCCGATATGGTACCGTGAGACGCTCCCACGGGGGGGAGGGGGGGGCCTCTGGGACCTTAGCAGGATTTCCTATCATGCGGTCTAAAATTTTATTATTGTCCACCCCTTGCTTTGAACAACGCGTACGGAAGCAAAACTGCAGACATCTTTCCGATGTTTACCGGTTACCAAATGCAGTTGTTCGGCGTTGTTGTGTGCGTGCAACGTATCCATGGCCTGCTTCCGAATGAAGTACAAGATTTCCGCCGCCCAGAGCTTACGCTAGGAAACGTTGAGCTAAATGAGGTTGTCCTTGTACTTCCCTCAGTTCTTTCTGCATGACTCGCTGGTCGAGGTCTGCATTGCGGGGCTTCCTCGCCTTCTCTAGAAAGTACTTTCTCATACGAATTCAGAAAACCTTTTTGCGGGAGCCTGTTTCAACTTTCAGGGAGCATACGCGTGACGTCACGCGCACCGCCAGCCTGAGCGGATGCGAGAGACGTCGTCGCGTCGTGTCACTGGATGGATAATACTGCGTTTTATACGATGCTTCTCCCCATGTACAGACCGCCTTCGACGCGTCCGGACAAAGAGCACGACAATTTGCTGCGTGGGCTTTACTAATAAAATGACTATTCTAGAAAAATAGAATCCGATCCATTCGAACAGAGCGCTTGCATTGCGAACAGACAGGTATAATCAACCAATAGGCAGCCCAAACTCTTAGGTGCGCAAGAGCGTGCTCGGGAGTGAGACTATTCACTACCGCCACCCCAGAACGTCGGAAACCTGAAGACGCGATGCCCTATTCTAGCCAGGAGAGCCCTTTCCTCATCGACTGCAGTTACGGCGTACGAGCGGTCGAAGTCTATCACCCGCCAACGATGCGCATATCCATGGCGAGGGCACACCAAGGACAGCTTGCACCTCACGATCTGGTTCAAGCGGATGTCGCCATGCCACACTCCTGCCAACGCAAGATCTTGCAGTAAATGGAGCACTTCCTTCCTGAGACATCTGGTGAGGCTCTGGATTGGATAGGTATGATACAACGTACTTCTCGCCGTTGTAGAAGGTGTACATAGCAGGTGCATCCATCTCTTTCCCCAGTCTTTCCATGATCATCAGTCCGACGGCTTGTACACCGTTCTTGTCCCACTTCCAGTGCTTCCACTGTGAATTTTCGTTACTCATCTCCTCGTCATCACGGTAGAGCTCTGGGTGCTCCGGCTCGTGGGGAAGCCAATCATGGATATCGCTGGTGTCTGCTGGGTGTTCCATTTCGTCGTGGAATGCCCAACTACTACCTCGCCAGGGAACAACCTGAGAGAACGAACATTGTGTTGTGAAAAAGCCAAAGTTCCGGGGCACGACAACGCCCTGAGCACCGGCCGCATCAAGCTGCTCATAGAACCAGGCCTCTCGGGCGAGGCTCCGTAATCGGTTGGGCTCAGCGAGCTTGATGCACAGTCGTGGTATTTTGAACCCGCCCAGTGACGGCTGTAACTGCTCAGCGTTGAGGACGCGAGCTTCGTAGACATGGCCACTTCGCCCTGCGCCAATAAACTTGCCAAGTTCCAGCTCAAGCTCGAGCCCTTCGACGGGCGGAGGACGAGGCTTCATGCTGTTGCCCCACACGAATGATGTGCAGTAGGCGCGCCACAGAAGTGCTGGAAACGTCAGGGTACGGGACATCGTGAGAGGGATGGGCACCCCATCTGAAGATTCAGCTAGTCCTCGTATTGTGATTGAAGAGAATAGGTCCAGACACTGTACTCATATGAGGGTTGGAATTCCAGACGCGACAGAGACTACGTGCCGAGCGACTCTCACGTTCAGTCATGTTCCCCGTCATCTTACAGCAAACGACAGGTCAAAAAGAGAACAATAGGTAGATGGCGAGTGCAGCGGTGAGCTTCAAGCCTGGTGCAGTGGGAACCATCTCCGCAATGTCGCGCCGTTAAATGACGCACATAGCGCTCGCCGCGAAGTCGATGCACAGATTATGCAGTACTTGAGCTTTATGCTTCAAGTGAGTTTCAAGCATGCCTCTGGATGTGAGTGCATGCACTGATCAAAATATATCATAGGCCCGATACAGAAATAGCAACTGGAACTGGGCACAAGGTCTCAATAATAACATCGACAAGCCACCATCTTATCCTTGCTGGGGGTCGGGCCATGCAGCTGCCACCGTCAGAACTGGGGATCGGGACAAGAACCGAGCAGGCCTTTCAGATAGCCTCCTATTCTCAAGCGCTGCACGCGAAGACATCGTGGCCAGTGCGGAAGTGGAGACATGGTGGACACACCCTATTACATGGAGGGATATATTTTTGGCCCGCGATAATGAAAGTGCCATATATCCCATGGAAGAGGGTGTCGACAACTTTGAAACGGCTCTAGTGAAACAGGTGAGTGCAATTACCTTGGACAGAACAAGCTATTTAAATTGGTAAACCAGCTTTGGGGCCGACTTGTAAAGCACAATATCAAGTTCACAGCGTGGATGAACCTGGAGGTTGTCATCGTGGCCCTCCGTCTTAGCAATCATGAAATGGCTATCTCCAATGCCATGGAATGGGACTCTCCGGAGCTGCACGAGACGTTATGTGGTTTCCAACTGGCAGCCCTGGACCAAAGGAAGTGGGTAGAATTAAATGGCGTGGACCTGATCCAACAGTTATGTCCCAACGATGAACGCAAATATGGTCCACGCTACGGATTCCCTGCAGTCTTACGTTTCTTGGAGCATGTTGAGAATGATGACCCAGATCCAGGTGCTGAACAAGCTATGGCAGATGGTGATGCTGAGGGCCAAGCCCAGTTTAATCGCGATGATGCAGAAGATGAGGATTATGAAGCCAGCGATTAAAGATTGGGCGGGAAGTCTCTCTTGGTACGTGCAATGAGTAGTCAAGTGACTGGAGTCTGATAAAGATTCAGAGGTAGTAGGGTGAATGTAGATTGCTAGCTGCGTGTGAGATGTATGTACATCATAGTAGGATGAATCTGTAGTCTCTCATATGCCCGAAGTTGCTTCTCTTGAGCATCAATCCACGCTGGCAGTAGCCTCAGATACCCACCGTGATGTCGTGTCTCAATGAAACCGCCCTGCATCTCTGAGATCGTGGGCGCATTCTGACGGCTTGAGAGCGCACCGCTGTGGATCGGGATAGATACGCGCGTCGTCCAGCCTTATCGCATGGAGGGGACTACGGGCGCTCATGCCTACCATTGATCAAGGAGAGTGGCCACGGCGCACGAGGACAGGCATGACTCCTGGCCAGGTATCATGGCTCGGAAAATCGCTACCTGCCCTAATCAGGGATCCACGACGACCTGCACATCCACCCACCTCCCCTTATTCAGCCCCCTCAAATCCTCCGGCCCAACCACGCACCCCCGCAGCCCGAGCACCTCCAGCCGCCGCCAGCGCCCCCACTCCACACGACCCAGCGCCTTCTCCCCCACGCCCGCTCTTCCGATCCACTTGTTATACGATAAGTCCAGGACTTCCAGCAGTGGGCATATCCCCGGCAGCCGGTGGACAGGGACGGACCGCGGGAGGGCGAGCAGCGCGAGGTGCGTGAGCGTCGGCGGGAGGGTGAGGAAGGTGGGGACGCTGAGCGGGGAGGAGAGGAGGACGAGGGTGTGCAAAGGGGAGTCGGAGGGGTCGTAAGAGCCCGGCGTGTCCCAAGACCAGTCTTCGTCTTCTTCGTTGTCGTCGGTGTCGGCTTCGAATGGGGTGTTGTCGCTCCAGAGGTCGGTGCGTAGGGAGTTGTGCGGGCCGGCGATGATTAGCTCGCCGTCGGCGTGGCCATCTTCGCATAGTGCGTATAGCTTGGAATTGGTTAGCGGAGAATAGACGGATGTGTATCGTAGAAGATCCCGGCGGAGGTGGGGAGCGAGGTAGGGTACCACTTCTTCCTCAAATTCCTGGACGCTGGCATAGAGGGACAAGACAATTCGGAAACAAATGGCCGAGAGCGGTGGAACGGCAGGCAATGGCGGAGGTCGACGGGATGGAGATTGGGGAAGCGTATTGTGTAGTATATGTGATGTGAGACCTGTGCTGTCGGGGATGTGGTTGAATATGACAGACAGCGCTTCAGCGCGCCAGGACGATCCTTTGGTGTTGATTCCCTCAGTACGCGAAGCCTTTCTCCAACTCTTGGGAACAGGCCCAGCAGTGGTGGGGTACGTGCCTGATACAGGATCAACCCCAGATTGTGGCTTGTCGCCGGCAGACTCGTTATAGTCTAGGCTTAAGGGTATATTCGTACTTGCATCGGTTACGCTCGTGCTGCTCCCTTTCGCTCTTTGCAGATTCCGGGCATGGCGGTACTGTTCTCCTCTTATAAAATGGTGAGCCGTGTGATACCTGTAGCGGGTTCGACAAGGACGTACCGCAAGTTATGTAAGAGAGCAGTGACGTCCTTGGAAGATTCAGCATCCTGGCCGGATCGATGAGGCGGGACGTATGTGCGAGAACCTGGTCTGGCTTGCTAGGAGCAGTCATTCTCTGGTATATTATTCAGATCAAACAGACTTACTCTAGAGTACATGGTCTATGTCGTGCAACAGCTTAGCGAGCAATTCAAGTCATGTCGGTCGTGAGCGGGTGGCAATTGCGGAGAAACGCCGACGATTGGAACGGGGTTAGCCGAGCGTACGCGTGACGTCACAAGCAAGGAACGGCACGTTGATCGACTTGCACACAAGCACAACAGGCAAGCGGGCATGATGCCTGCTAGTCGATAGAGCTCTAATATCCGGTCTGCTTTATCGTGAACACTAACCATGTCCAGATATTCGCCGCAGCAGGGCGGCTATCCGTACTCCGCTGCCCGCGCTGCCTATCCTTCCTTCATCCCCGTCCAGGACTCCTTGAAGCTGCAAGCCACATGGCTCCTGCGCGGTCTCGCCGACGCGTTCAGATGGGACATTGTCGTCAGGACCGTCAGCAGGTACGCCCCCTTTTAATTATGCCCTGTCCTGCTCTCACGAACCCGCAGCGACCCAGAGATCCGCGCCAACGTCCTCAAGTCCCTGCTGCTGAACTCGCTCTCGTTGACCTCGATCTACGTCTTTGATATCCTTTTGCACCCCCTTGTGCGAGACCAGCAGAAATGGCTCCATCGGAACGTCGGGTGGTTCTACCAGGTGCTGTGGCTACTCCCCGTGGTCGGAGCCTCGCTCTATCTGAATGTGAGCCACCATATCGTTCTTCTGTGTGAGGTCTACTCACCGATGCCTTCCAGAGCTCGTGGTGCACCCTTATTGCCAAGCGAACCTACGCCCTTCAGCACGGATCTCGAGCAGCAGCCGCCGAGACGTCGTACACCTACACTGGCCTCCTCCACGCGCTCGCGTCGTCAGCCTACCGAGGCGTCATGATCGTGACCTCTATTACGCTTGATTTTGCCCTTGGACACATCCCCGTCGTTGGCCCAGCCTTGAGCTTCGCGTTCTTGTGTTGGGTGGATGCGTAAGTATGTTCTCCACGTCTTCCCTCCAACTGGCACAGATATCCTGACTGTATTGGTTTCTAGCTATTATTGCTTCGAGTGAGCTGTTCCCCCTTGCCACGGGGAGCGGTGGTGCTGACACTCCTTGGATGTGCAGGTTCATATGGACAGCGCGAGGCCTAGCGCTCTTCAAGCGAGTCAGGCATCTCGAAGAACACTGGGCGTACTACTTCGCCTTCGGTAGGCCTGGCTCATGTCCGTCACCTACCCATCTGATGCGATTGTACAGGTCTCCCGTCGGCCGCGCTGTGCATGTGGGGCAGCGGCCTCGCCAACGCCGCCATCTTCGCGCTCATCTTCCCCTCAGTGGGTATCACAACTTCCTGAATCCCAAAATGCTCACTAGCATCTCACCGTTCAGTACATCATCATGGCGATGCACGCCCACCCTGTCCCGCACGACCCCTACAACCCCCTCCCGGTTTCTGCCTCCGCCACTGACACCCGCCCGCTGCTGCCCTCGCCGTACGTCCCCATCCGGCTGCCCGTGTTCGCCTCCGTCATATTCATCAACGACTGGATCGTGCGCGTACTGAGCCTGTTTGGCCCGCGCGGAGGGGGAAGGCATCGCAGGGGGCTGAGCGAGGCGGAGGCGGAGAGCGTGGAGGAGGGCGTGGAGATGAGCGCGGTGGGGAGGGGCGGGAGGAGGATTGGGGTGCGGGGGGTGAGGAGGAAGGTTGAGTAGATCTTGCGTTACTATTTCTACTTCACTAGTAGTTCGACACGCATGCACATACATACTACAACTACACAGATCCCTCATTATTGTGCCGGTCCGTACTCGGCCTAACCGAACCCAGCCCACTCGATGGACAGATGCGAGACCTCCTTCTTCTCGTCGTCCCACCCGCAGAGCAGGTGCGCCTTCTTCGTGGCCGTCCCGAGGCGCCCGTGCGCGACGATCTCCATCGGCCGGAGGGCGGCGACCGGCGACTCGATCACGGTCGCGACGAAGTGCGAGTGGTAGCGCAGCGGATCGCCTGCGAACGAAGTGTGCGTACGTCAGACCAGCCAACTTTCGGGTTACGCGAGAAGAAATGAAGGGCTCACCGGGGTACACCAGGAAGTCCCCGCCGAACTTGATCCCGACACCCAAGAAGTAGCCCCGCTCCCAGAGGTCGCGGAAGACCGCGCAGCGCGCGCGCTCGTACAGCGTCGCGGGGTACGCCCACACGCCCGCGCTCTGGGCGGCTGCGATCGTGGTGTAGGTGTCATGCCCGGGGTCGTACCAGGCGTAGCCGGACGAGGAGGCGGGGATGGGGAGGGTGTATGTGAAGGAGGGGGAAGGGGTGGAGGTGGACGGGGTGGATGGCCGCGGCGGGGGAAGGGTTGGGGTTAGTTCAATGGGGGTGTCCTGTGGGAGGAGAGATGATTCCGCTTGGGCTTTCGCTCGCGCGCGTTTCTCCTCGCGCTCTTTGCGTTTCTGGATCGCGGCCTCAGTCATCCCGCGCCCCGCTTCCTTGGCCTCTTTCGCGCCCGCCAGGGCGGCCTGCTCTTGGACGGATCGTTGCCGTTCGGCGTTCCATTTGGCTATCTCGGATGGGGAAGGTGCGTGGTGCGCCGAGGGGTCGTCGACGAGAACTGCTAGCTCTTTGATTGCATGGGCTGGTCAGTGAGGCATATTCGGAGTGGGAGGAGGGGGTAAATTCGGACCTTTCTCGATTAGCAGTACCACCTCTTCGGGGAGGAGTAAGAGGGGCACGCCGAGGAATACATTCTGCTGGGAGAGATGCGGCAAGGTTCCCGTTAGGACGCCGCAGATGTGATGCTTCGAGCGTAGGGTCGCGATGTCTGCGCTTGCCAGATTTCAGTTCTCCGCTTCGTGTAATTATTGTAGCCTTCTTACCGTCGACGTCCCAGACGTACGCTTTTTGGTTAGAGACGCGCAGTCGAATCCGGGCGTTCGAGTCGTTCATTTCAAACGGTGGACTCGAGTTTAGAAAAGCCAGAAGCGTCTGTTGCGATTTAGCGGACGTCCGAGGCAGGAGGTGAAGCTGAACTTCAAGTCAAATGTACTGTGGCGATAAAATTAGACAGCTTTCAAGTTGGCTCGGGAGTTGCCGGCTAGATAAACCTATGAGATCGCGATCGGGATCTCCTGCTACGCGTTCGATTGAAGTGCCTTTGAATGCAGTTTGAAGACAGGGTATTGCTTTTGCATGAGCTTGTGGTGCTTCTCGTCTTGATGGGTATATTGTTTCACTGAGAGGCAGAAGGTAGATAACAAACCCAGGTATCCTTGGACTAGCTTCTTGTGTAATCTAAAAGACTTATTATAGAGCCCTCTTCCTCCCAAGCCGGCTCTACGATACGAACCATATCGCAGCACGCGATGCTTAGTTATCATATAAATGCACCACTGCTCAGTCTTCCTCGAACGTGTCCCAAGCTTGAGAGACATTCCCCTCAGTCATGAACGCAACACAGGATTGCATCGTGCTGCTGGGCGACTCTCTCACCGAAATTAGCTGGGCCCCGGGGGGACTGGCGCAACGTTTGGCTGGTGTGTCGCCTTGCCGATTTTACTCCCCCGCTACAGCATCTCAACAACATCTTCACAGAGAACTATGTGCGCAAATTGCATGTCATCAACCTCGGCCTGTCTGGATACAATTCGGAATGGGCGATCCCCGTATTTGAACAGGTACGTGAAGACACCACCGACGCAAAAGATCTCCGATGGACTGATGGGTCCCCAGTTGCTATCCAAGAAAGAGGAGCAGCAGTATGTCCCCAAGATGCAACTGCTGACGATCTGGTACGGCGCCAACGACGCAATGAACCCGTAGCCATACCTCCGGCATGCGGTCTCCCTGTCCGCAGTCCAGTCCAACCTCCGGCGCCTCGTCAACATGGTCAAGTCCCCCGAGTCGCCGTACTACTCCCCGAGTACCCGCGTGGTGCTGATAACGCCCCCGCCGGTGAACACGCACCAGTGGGCGGAGTTCCAGCAGTCACAGGATCCGCCGAGGGAGCAGGACCGGGATAACGACAAGGCCAGACAGTATGCCGACGCGGTCAAGGAGGTCGGGGCGATGGACGGGATACCCGTGGTGGATGTCTATACGCCCCTTTGGGAAGCAGCGGGCCAGAATGAGCGGACCCTGAGCAAGTACTTGTCGGATGGGCTGCATTTGAACGCCGATGGATACAGCGTACGTCGCCATCGTTATGGACTGTGCATCTTTGAAATGGCATCCCAGTTTGTCTACGACGGGTTATTGAAGGTTATTGCTGACAACTACCCCGAGATTCTTCCTGATAAATTGAACACTGTATTTGAGATGTGCGTAGTCATGTCTTGCGGGACGGACTCTGTATTCACATCGTGCTATAGCTGGGAGCCGCTCGGAGCATCGGACAAGCCTCTGGAAATGCTGGACAAACGGAGTATCTTTCCGAGTGGCAAGTAGACCCGGACGGACGGCAGTTATCGTCCTCCGTCATACGCAGGATTTGATGATGAAATCTGGTGGCGATTTGATATCGTCCGAGACACAGAGCACATGATGGGTGGAATAATTGTCCATTCTAGGAACATGACATCTTCGTTACGCTCGGACTTGTTGTCTTACAGTGCCTTGCATAAGAAACTGAACATCGCATTTCCGCGCGCGTTGTTTGTTCGCGCCAAATATACCCTTTTCGGGTAGGTCTGGAAGGCCTCTCGCGGGACCATTTGTTGGGCAGGGACTCGCAGATGCCCCGAGAGGGCTCGAAAGGCTTCAGAGAATGATAGAAATGTATATTCTACAACTACACTAAGGGCTGTAAATCATTATAGTCTTGCCCTAGCTGTATGCCCAGCTAACCCTCCCTCTCGATGGGTCTTTGCCGCACATTTGCC